GGGCAAAGTTCAGCGCTTCCACAGAGAGTGTGGAGACACTGAACTTCAGTGCTGCAGCACCTCTAGTGGCGTTTGTCTGAAAAGGCAATGTTTACGTTAAAATGCCTGCAGGAATAGGCTATAGACACCAGAACCACTACATTAAGTTGTAGTTGCTCTGGTGACTATAGTGTCCCTTTAAGTCACATAAAAGGGTAATACAAAGTTGTATTCCTAGCACTATAGCTCCCTCGTACCCCCCTCCCTCGCAGTTCCCACCCCTACCCCCCCGCAGTGTAAGGGTTTATAAACCCTTGCTGTACTTGCCCAATTCCAGCCGCATGCACATTAGGCACTTGTCATAGAAAAGCATTAGTGCAATGCTTTCCTATGGGAATTTACTGACTCTGGATGTCCTCATGCAGAGGGTGAGTATGTTCGGCGTCAAGCGACCAAATGTCGCCTAACCAATAGTAAGTGCCTATAATGACTGTCTGATTGACAACCACTAGAGGCAGTCTTAACCCTGCAAGGTAATTATTGCAGTTTTTTTTTAGAAACTGCAATATTTACCATTGCAGGTTTAAGGGGACAGGCACTGCACCCAAACCACCTCAATGAGCTGAAGTGGTGCCTATAGTGACCCTTTAAGTGAAGAATTGGTTGTTACCTGATTTAAGGGATCTTTAACCCTAAAAGGACCGATCATGCATTGTGTTGCAGGGTGCTGTCTCTATTGGAAGTGAGGCATTATAATGTCAACTGTATTGGTCCAGCAACTGTATAGACTTTACTGCAATGACGATGGCAGAAGAAGGTCACAGTGAATGCATAGTTCAATAACCTTTTATATATATATATATATATATATATATATATATATATATATATTCCTCTGCACTGTGGCTTTATAGAGATAATTCTCATTAAAGTGGCAGCAAGTCATACTGGTCATACAAGGAAAACTTTAAAGGACACTGCTGACTGGATTTTGACAAATATTTGTTTTCAATTTAATATATAAATGTTGTATTTAATATATGTACGTATGCATTTCCTACAAATCCTCATAACTTAATCAAAAGTACTATTTTGAGATAGAGAACAGGTGGGCTTAAGAGCAAAAATTATATTTAAGATAAATAATAATTAAAGGGGGGCGGAGCCAACTGTGGAACAGAGAGGACGCGTTTTCCCCGACCTCCGAGCCTGGCTCACTTATATAACAAAATATACCGTAATAACGGACGTCTCCGAAGCCACAACCTGTCACCAGTGGAGGGGAAAGGAGAATGGGACGGAAAAAACAAAAATCCAAGGGCGATCGGACCCCAACAAGCCGGGATATCGGTGAACTCCTGAGGGGCACCCAAAGGGCCACATGGGACAAAATGGCGCCGGAGGGAGATGACTCCTCTTACTCCTCGGAAGGCAACCCACTCGACATAGGAGAGGAGATACCCCTCGACATACCCATAAGACCCACAGCCAAACATCCAGCCCCACCCGAACCCGTAACAGCTGCCCAGCTGAAAGACATGCTAGCTGAGCTCAGGGCGAATATAGCAGCAGACATGGCCCACTTTACTGGTGTGGTTTAAGCTATAGACAAACTTATACCAATAAGTGGAGCGCTCCTAACACAAGTACAGCTTACCAAATGGTATCCCATTCAATGGCGCAGTGTAAGGTACATGTTTAAAAAGATACAAAAGAATACAATATAGTGTAGACGGTATGGAAACCATTTGGTAAGCTGTACTTGTGTTAGGAGCGCTCCACTTATTGGTATAAGTTTGTCTATAGCTTAAACCACACCAATAACTTCAACCGTATCTTGTGAAATAGAGGATATTTTCACATAAGTGTATTGAGCAGCCTACAAGTCACTTCACTTGTTTTAAAGCACTGTATTATACACACTCCTCTGTAAAAGGAGGTAACCTTTGAATGGCCCACTTTACAACGGCTATTGAAAGCGCCACCTCTCGGATCACTCTGCTGGAGGCCGCAACTAGTACCCAAGACTCCAGGCTAACCGTGGTGGAAAACCAGATTGCAGAAATGCAAAAGCAACAGCTGACTACCACCGACAGAGTGGACGCCATGGAGGACCACAAAAGGCGCTACAACCTTAAAATCCGCAGCATCCCGGACTCGATAGGTCTGACTGACTTACCTATGTCTGCAGACTGCGCAACACATTTCTGCCACCCAAGCAGGCCAAAGCAGCGAAACTGGACGGCCTATTCCGCCTACCAAAACCACCTACAGCGCCTACGACAGTCTCTGCCGACCTTATCATACGATTTCAATCATTGTCAGATAAGGCCCTGCTGCTCACGGCCACAAGGGGGAAGACCCCAATACACTTCGAGGGCTCATCCCTAACTCTGTTCCCAGATCTCACCCGCAACACCATCGCATGGCGCAGGTCGCTGAGACCACTACTGCAGATCCTTCAAGCAAAGGAAATCCAGTACCGCTGGGGAATTCCTAAGCAGCTTCTATTCACTCACATGACTGTTGCCTACAGGGCCCGGAGCTATACGGAACTAGAAGCTCACCTGCACAAGATTGGCATCGCGGGACCGCAGAGAGAGGCCGGCTTGGGATTGGCACACATTGACCCCTCTGCCATCAAATAATTCACCCCCCGCACGGGGCGACACCCAGGACAGGAGAGACTGACCTGAGGACTACTCTGCGAGAAGCCACCCTCAGTTCACCTGGTGGACGACTGGGCTCCTTCTAACACCACCACCGATGACCACTCGGACTTATGACCTATAATTCTGGTTGAACTTTCTCTCTGTTCCCAAAACGCTTCAGTTTATATTTCTGTTTTATATTTCTGTTTTCTACCTTTTTTTTTTTATTGTTATTATTGCCTTTGCAACATCTCATATATTTAGGCTGACACAGCCAACTTACGTAAAAGGGGTACTCCCTCTGGCACATTCGTCTTAGGATTCATAGACATGGGCAAGACCCCTCTCTCCACCCCCCCTCCCCCTCCCCCCGCTGGGCCTCAATACCCCAGAGAGATACAGACCGAGACTTACTACCGGTACCGGAGAGGTAACTCCTGACAGGGATACACAAGACCCACTGACACGACAACACTTAAGCACCCTGGGGACAACACTAGACGTACCCACTCATAAACTGTTTTACTTCATTTATTTTATTTTATTACCCTCGACTCAAACTTATAAACCTAACATATACTTTTTTGCAATCCTAGCCTACATATGAGACGTCCTCTTGCCAACTTTTTTTATCAGACGCATGCCGTACACAACAATACTTGATAGACGTTGCCATATAGGCTGGGAATGCCATATAATTGATGTATTCTATGTATACTTCGCCTTTAAATTCAAAATAGTGCAGTATGCATGACCTTTTATGCTTGCCAATTGTCTATTACGGAAATATATCTGTGCATACCGCTGCAATTTGTATACTCCATGCTGCACTGTCAAAAATAAAGAATTTAAAAAAAATTAAAATAATAATAATAAAAAAATAAAAAAAAATACTTGACTTAACTAAATGCAACTAAGCCTATACATTGCACTAAACTTGTATGTGTACCTGGAATGTTCCTTCAAGTGCACACGGTCCATACCTCCCAACTGTTCCTATTTTGGGCCCAAATCCTTCTGTCACTCTCTTCCATCCCTTTGCCCCTCTTTTGTAGGAGCTCCAATATTGTTGATGTTTAAGTGTAAAAAAGTAATTTGTCTTTCACTGACAATACATATGTTTAGAAATAAGTTTGTGTAAATGTGTTGCATTATTATTATTTTTTGCTGTATAAATTCAATTTTAGTTGCATGCATGATATCCGTAAGTCATCTAAGATTTATCAGAACTGTTCTGGCTCTGACACACCTTTCTTCACACCCCTGAAATTAAGGTGTCCCTCTTTGGCCATTTGAAATGCTGGGAGTGATGTGCTTAAAGCTGGACATATATACTTTTATATTTATTTTTATTTCTTTTCCATTTCAAGAGTAGGGAGAGGGGGGTACAGAAAAAAGAAGATATTTTTTGTGTGTTGTCCGATGGTGGAGTAAGATTGTTCTAAAAGAAGACCTTGCCTCCCAACAGTATGGCTTTCAACTGGAGAGTCCCGATTTTAGGGTGCTTTCCCGCTTTAGTCCCCTGCTGTTTAGCCGTCAAACAGAAACAGTACTAAATAATACGCTTTACTCAGAGCCTTCAAAGCACAGCATGTGCTCATGGCTATCATTTACCATTACATATTTTTCACAAGCCTACACAGCCAACTGTTAGCATTAGTCGACAGAAAGAAAGTAAAATTATTACAACAGTCCAAATATGCTGCTTTTAAATAGGAAATAGAATAGGACACTTCTCTAGGCTTACCTATAATGTTTTTTCTATTCTTTTACTGATAATTTGATAGTACATTCATATATATCTTAGCAAAGTAAATTGCCTATACCTTGAGTAATGTGCCCAAAACATGTCTGTTCTTTGGTGCTGTTGAGATATTTCTTGGCAGTGTTCAGCGTTGCTTAGGATTGAAGCTCCGAGCACGCTCACTAAGTGACCTAAATGATCACCAAATGCTCTAAACAAGGTATTGTAGCGATAGAACAGCAGAATTTCACATTTTAAGCCGAACTAGAATTGCCTGTCACGTCAAACTGTTGCATGCCCCTGCTAAACCACAGTTCCCTTAGTGCAAATTTTACTCCACAGCTATTTTTTACAGCAAGACACCATTTTAATGGAGACATACTCATTGATATGTAAAACAGTCCTCAAGTATAATGTGTTTTTGTGTCTCTAAAGCTCAGTAAAACCACCAATATCAATGAGAAGCTTTTCTTAAAGGACCACTATAGGCACCCAGACCACTTCAGCTCAATGAAGTGGTCTGGGTGCCAGGTCCATCTAGGGTTAACCCTGCAGCTGTAAACATAGCAGTTTCAGAGAAACTGCTATGTTTACATATGGGTTAATCCAGCCTCTAGTGGCTGTCTCATTGAAAGCTGCTAGAGGCTCTTCCGCACTTCTCACTGTGATATTCACAGTGAGAAGTGCGGAAGAGCCTCTAGCGGCTTTCAATGAGACAGCCA